CATACTAACTGTGGGATTCAGGGAATTACTGTAGTTGGAGTTTAAAAAATATAACTTTTTCAAACTATGGTGCAATCCATGTATTTTCAGCTGTTCTTGTGAGGGCGTATGGAAGGATGGGAAACTTGGGTGGTTCTGGGGTCTAACTTATCTCACCTTAGGCCCACTGAAGGCTATCAACATTTGCCACTGAAAACCTCATTTAAAATAAGCATGTTGCCTTCTTTAAAAAAAATTATGATTTGCTGCCAAAACCAAGTCCTCTGAAAGATGCTAAATATGCATTCTTCCAAAAGGATAGAGTTATACTTTAAAACTGAGCAAACCCCACAGTTTGTTTTTAAACTGCCAGTACAATACCACTATAGGGACGTGGTGGTGCTGCGGGTTAAACCGCTGAAGCCTCCGTGCTGCAAGGTCAGAAGACCAGCAGTTGTAAGATTGAATCCATGCAACAGAGTAGCTCCCATCTCTTGTCCCAGCTCCTGCCAACTTAGCAGTTTGAAAGCATGCAAATGCAAGTAAATAAATAGGTACTACCATGGTGGGAAGGTAGCGGTGTTCCGTGTCTAGTCGCTCTGGCCATGTGACCACAGAAACTGTCTACAGACAAACGCTGGCTCTACAGCTTGGAGACGGGAATGAGCACCGCACCCTAGAGGTGGACACAACTGGACTAAATGTCAACGGGAACCTTCACCTTTACAATATCACTGTTTTAGCAACAGCACGGTATGCTCCCCAGTGTACTTCAGTGTACTAAGGGGATCACCCTTCAAACTTGGATAGTTCCCCATCCATGCCCTAAAATGTATACAGAGGAGAAGCGAAATCAGTAGTAGTCCCTTACTTACAAGTATAGTTAGAAGATCATCCATTGAGTTCTAGATTACTTCTATATAAATATGCTTAGGATTGTAGCCTTAGTTATAGTTTCACTCACAAATATCCTAAATGCTTCATGGCTTTCAACATTTTATGAACAGTTTTCAAGGAAAAATTAATAGTTTTTTTAGTTTGCCATATAATTTACCTGATTCTGTTGCTCTCACTGACTTTTCCTAGTGTATTCTAACATGAAAATAGCCAGTGGATATGGCATCCAAATAATTTTTTTCCTTCATATCCCCTGTTGTTGTTTAATTGTTAGGTTGTGTCCAACTCTTCATGACCCCTTGGACCAGAGCACGCCAGGCCCTCCTGTCTTCCATTGCCTCCCGTAGTTGGGTCAAATTCATGTTGGTACTTTCGGTGACACTGTCCATCCATCTCGTCCTCTGTCGTCCCCTTCTCCTCTTCCCTTCACACTTTCCCAACATCAGGGTCTTTTCCAGGGAGTCTTCTCTTCTCATGAGATGGCCAGAGTATTGGAGCCTCAGCTTCAGGATCTGTCCTTTCAGTGAGCACTCAGGATTGATTTCCTTCAAAATGGATAGGTTCTCCTTGCAGTCCAGGGGACTCTCAAGAGTCTCCTCCAGCACCACAATTCAAAAGCATCAATTCTTTGGCAGTCAGCCTTCTTTATGGTCCAGCTCTCACTTCTGTACATTGCTGCTGGAAAAACCATAGCTTTGACAATGTGGATCTTTGGCAAGGTGATGTCTCTGCTTCTTAAGATGCGGTCTAGGCTTGTCATCGCTTTCCTCCCAAGAAGCAGGTGTCTTTTAATTTCGTGGCTGCTGTCCCCATCTGCAGTGATTATGGAGGCCAAGAAAGTAAAATCTGTCACTATCTCCATTTCTTCCCCTTCTGTTTGCTAGGAGGTGATGGGACCCGTGGCCATGATCTTAGTTTTTTTTTTTTATGT